CTTTCCACTTACAACAGTGGTCTATATCTGTTATTTACCACAATGCGATGTTATCTCCTGTATCCCTTTATAATAACGTACAAAGATTGTATGACAATTTATATCAAAATAATACAGCAAGATAATTTGTGTAATTTGCATGAATGATAATCATATATAATGATTATTGATTATAAAATGACATCAATTAAAGACATCGGTGCAATACTACAATAACTAAATATGCCCAATTAATATCATACACAATGTATCACAAAAACTATATTTACATTACTGTTGAGCTCAATAACCAGGTAAGTCTGGACTTACCTTAAATATTTTCATAAATTAGTTTTTTTTTTCCAAACAGGAGATCGTTTTTTTTTATAAATGAAAGTGACGCAATGAAATAATATGAGATGAAACTATGAATTTTATAGGTATTCTAAGTAAATGATATTAGTGAATGAAATGAGATGGATGACGTCAGTTGTAAGTATAAATGTGTTTTAAAAACATGGTATGAAATAATTAGTATAGGTGAAATTGATAACAATAGTGATATTAATGAAATGTGCCAGAATAATTTCATAAATCACGTATTAAAAGGTACCCGAGTATAATAGAAACTACCACAATATTTGAATAGTATCATAATTAACGTTTATTATTATTTGTTATGTTATTTGTTATTTGTTATTATGACGTGATATGTTAATTTTCTGAATATTTTATATAGATTAAATTAGGTACCTTTTTAGTAAACATTAAGTATTAACTTAAAATAACTAACTTTTTTGGGAATAGGTACTAAACCTAATACACTGGGGAATACAAAATGTGGTAAATATAATTACCTAAGTAATTTTATATTATGCATCTTGTATTTCTTGTTTTTAGAATTTGAGTTAGATATCAAAAGACAATAATCTTAATTTTATATATTTTACTTTTAAAATGACTTCGACTGGCGTAGTTGTCCAATATGTCAATAATTGTACATTCAAACAATGGAGCGTGAACGATTCGATTGTTCATGCGAATGGCATACATAACAAGTATACCAACACTTGAGCACTTGCACAAGTACCAAATATGCTAATTATTGGATGGGGCTTTTCACGTACCATACTATGCAGAGAAAACAGTGTTTTCAAAATAGATAATTCTATTTTTATTTTATGTTCTACAATTTTCTAATAACAAAGAAAATTATATCTAATGTGAGTTATGTAATATCATATTGTTATTAAGATTTAAGGAGTAGGGATAAGATTAAAGATCAACTGGTTCTATAATAATTAAAAAAACAGAAATGAAATTCATTAAAAATCCTTCGAAAAAATTGGTGATTCATAATAAATTATTTCAAGAATTACCTAAATATATTATACAATAATATTATATTTTCGTCACTTTTATAATTTATTTTAAAAGAAATTAGTATATTCAGTGAAAAATAAAATTAATACATTATATTAATTTATTCGCTTTTTCATTTGATTGAGCACGCAGTTTATACGTCAATATATGTGTGATACTAATGTGCAACATAAAACATAAAACTCTAGTAATAAAATTACACTTTTAACAAAAACCGTTTGATATAGTATGTTTCTGTAAGTAATAAACAGATTGATTATAGTTAATTAATTTATAATTAGCCCGTTACCGAATAACGGCCATATTAATAGAAATACATATTCGGAAATATAAAACTATCAAATAATTGTAAACTTAGATTGGCGAATTCCACAAATGTTTATTCTCTAACATAATATTTGAAATGGAGCTAGATAGTAGATATTTATTGGTATTTGGTTAGGTTAGGTTAGATTAGGGTTTATAATATGATGTGTGTTTTTTTGTGTCTATGAGCCACTTTTTTGAAGGGAAATTTTATGTAGTTGGTACATTGGAGATTTATCAGTGACGGCTTAAGTTGTATTGTTTTAGTGAGGCAACTTATTTATCATTCCCCTTACCTTCATAACAAAAATTAAACTTTACAAAAATGGAGTTTGAAAGCAAAAATAATTATAATTATAATTATAATAATAATATATTTGTTTCGTATAGTATACCCAACGGCCAACAGTGTTCCAAACAGATTTAATTTTATCCAAAAACAAACACGGCCAACAAAACAATTTTTATATATAATGACTTCCACATAATCAAGAGTGTTGTTGATGTAAATTTGGATTAAATGACTTATAAAATACCTTACTTAGTTTTTTGTCAGGAGACAAAACTTATAAGATCGGAATAGCCCTACCTACTTTTAGTAAATCATTTTTACTACCAGAATTCCAACGTCGAAATGGCGTTTGTAACTATATGACAACCTCGTCTGTCACTGGATTTATGTCAAATAAAAAGCACGGTGACACGTGTAAACAAATTTAAACGAATCAAAACGAGCGACGATTTGAACAAGATGGAAAAATATAAGCTAATAGGTATTTAAATCGGATTCAGCGGAATCGGCGTTGTGACAATGATAACTGATTTATGATTATGTGTTTTGTTGTTGAACGTGTCGCAGTCGTGGCTGCGGGCTTACCATTATAATACATCTAGTTTTAGTACACAGAGGCGATGAAAAGCATGCCGCACGATGATCATTGCGCATGCTCAATTCTGTTTATTTAACAGTCCCGTGTATTCGCGCATGTGTGTGTAATTAATATATACAAATGAAATTCAGGGGCGACGTTATACAGTCACCTCTCTGACGTCAACGGAACTTTGCCACCGGCTGAAATGTCAGCATTTGTTTACGTAATAATTATTTCGTGCATTTCTTATCGGTTTATCGCTATTTTTGGTAATAAACACGGAATGATATTATACAATCATAAAATAAATGATAATTCATATTATTAAACTTCGTAAGGAAGATTTTTTTTTTTTCAAATAAAATCATAAATACGTTAAAAATTATTAGCGAAATATGTGCTATCGATGAACCAATAATTACACTTTTAGAGTATTATTTACTACAAAATTTTAGGTGAGGTGCCGCCACTGGTTTTTGTTGCATTTTTAACCTAGTTGGTGAAACTCATAAATTATTTTTTGATTTTTCACGTAGTTTTCATAATAATTGGGAAAAACCTGGGAAACATGTTTTCATAATATTACAATGATGTACTATTTAAATTTTTTTTTTTCTTAATATACATTATACATATTTTAAGTGTATATAGCTGTGGTTCTCAACTTTTTTTAATTCATGTCACTCTATTCACGACATTCCAGCACTGTGTCACCCTACCATTAAAATATGCATGGTTTTAAACAACTTAATCTATAGATTTTAGAAAAAAGAATTTGCAAGTCCATAATTATAATCAAAGCAATAATTGTTACTAATCTACACTAATATTGCAAAAAAGTAAAGTTTATAAGTTTGTAAGTTTGTTTGTAGAAAGTAATTTCCGGAACTACTGAACCAATTTTGAAAGTTCTTTCACCAGTAGAAAGCTCCATTATTTTTGAGTGACAAAGGCTATATTTGATTGTGATTAATAATAGTTTTTTTACTGTGAAATAATAATATTTGTGAATCAATTCTGAGAAAAACGGGCTAATGCGTTGATTTATCGACATGAGCTGACTAAACTGTTTGATATAGTAGGTGAGATTTTATACAATATATTATTTGGTTGTGCAGTTTAGGGGATAATTTAATATTTAAATTACGCGAGACGATGGAAATGCCACCCGTTCGGCCGAAGAATAAGAATATAAAACTCAGTACTAAGAACCATACAAGATAATTTCATCACAAGTAAAAATGTTTGATTCCCAGCGAAGTAGGCACGGGTCAGCTATTTCTCATAAAACAATAAAACGCATCATAATTATACTTATTATGGTTAAAAAAACAAAAAAAATTAGAAATAAAGAATGTTTCTGCATTTTTGACCAATCAAGTTAATTCGTGGGATAGCTATGGACAGTTAGATGACAAATCGAAACACTTTTAGTGCACCAAATGCAGACTACTAATTTTCAACCAATTTAATTTTACCTGTTTTCATTCAATACTGACACGGTTGAAACCAAAGTAGGTTAGATTAGGTAAAAACAAAAAAAAAATTTACTTGGGCAAAACTATAAGGGACAGCTAGTTTTTAGATTCCGAGCTTAGCGAGGGAGGTATTGGTTTTACTAAGATGTTTATTTTATTTTTTTTTTTTTTTGTTCTAGTCTTGGGCAAGTTTTTTCTTAGTAAAATTGTTCCGATTTTTACGTGTACTTTTCTGAAAGCACAAGTTGTCTAGATGGTATTTTAAAGAAGTCATTTTTTGATTTTCGACGCCATATTTTAAATAAAAGCACTTAAGTGGAAAAAAACATAAGAAAACGTACAATTTCACGATTTTATTATTTTATAAAAACACATACGACGTTTTCTACCAGAATTAAATAATCACAAAATACTTTTTTTGTTGCCTTTTTGATTTACTGTATCATTGCCAAAAATGTTGAGCCACTTTTGAGCTTTTGAGGAGTTTTAACTCTTGGGAGTATTTTTGCTGTAATTCGGTTACAAATACACGCAGAGACTTGAAACTTGGTAATAATATTTATATTGGACTTACCTAGACGTGGTCAAATTTCCAAAATCATCAGACGACTATTTTTTCCTTTTTTAAATTTTTTTATCATGGTACTTTATTTTTTTTTTTTTTATATACTGTAGACCAGGGATAGGCAACTGCGGCCCGTGAGCCTTTTATCTGACCCGTGCTACATTTTCAAATAATATCATACAATTTTAAATTTAGATGGATTCAGTAAAAAATTGGTAGGTTTTAAAAATGTAGTCGTTAAAAAAAAATTAATACATTTTCCCGTATTGCGAAATTATAAAAATAGAATTGGACGACGAGTTTAATTTTAACATTGCATAACCGACTTAGACGAATTAACTATCGAATTCGAAAGACGATTTGAAGAAATTTAACTTATGCGCTCTCAAATGAATTTGTTTAATAATCCAATGGCAGTTGAAATTAAAATACAATATGCTGCACTTCAATTAGATGCTGTAATTCAATTATGCGAGTTGCAAACGGATCCATTATTATCTACAAAAAAGATTGACGTATACTTTTGGAAAAAATTATCTGTTGTGAAATATCCACTTTTACGAGAGTTTGCATTAAAAATGTTATCCATGTTTGGAACTACTTACATTTGTGAATGCATATTTTCAAATATGAAACATATAAAATCAAAACAAAGAAATCGTCTTACAGATGAAACGTTGAGTCACTATTACTTCGATTTTTTTGCGTTTTCATTAGCAGTCACAAACCTCAAATCTTATATTAATGCTAATTAAAGTATATATTTTGGATGGCCCTTTTTTTTTTTTGCTTTCCATGCTCTGGCTCGCTAGATTTTAATTTTCTAAAAATTGACCCTCTAGTGGCTTTGAGTTGCTCATCCCTGCTGTAGACTACTTTTATCCTAGAAAACTTGCTCTGATGTATAAGTGTAGCACTTATTCTGAAAGTCAATTTTATCTACTTGGTAAACACATAGGTCATTTTTTGGTTTTCGAAACGGTATTTAAAATAAAACGATTAACCAGGAAAAAAAATACGATTTTTTTTACGATTTCCTTATTTTAAATAAGTTTATACCACATTTTCTAGCAAAAATATGGCTCGAAAAACGACAAGAGACCTTTTGTTTTGTGTTGAATTATTAATCTTGTTTTTAATAATGCAGTTCGTTTTTTTGATTTTCGAATTAGTTTTCATAATAAACGGGAAAAACTGAAATCGAAAAACCACAAGACACCTTTTTGATTTACTCTCTTACGGTATCATTGCCAAAACTTTTGAGTCACTTTGAGCTTTTAAGGAATTTTAATTTTTGGTTGTTTTTTTGCTGTAATTCGGTTATAAATACAGACTTAAAACTTGGTAATAACACTAATATTGGACTTACCTAGACGTGGTCAAATTTCCGAAATCATCGGACGGCTTTTTTTTTTAAAAAAAGCGTTTTGTTAACAAATTTAAACGAAAACAGCAAAAAAAAATTACGGCATTTTATATTATGTATTACCGAACTACGCTCGGAATCGTCTTTCGTTAAGCAATGGTTTATCGTCGCTTACAGATATAAATGAAACAACCTTATGTATCCTATCTTCCCAACTTCTCACCTAGAACAGTAACCGCTCTCATCCCCAATATCAGCTCTTGTTTTAATATTTTTCTTTTAAAGAAGTGCATTTTTTATCCTGTCCCGTGCGGTACTGAGAGTTTGTAATTTACGCCACCACTACAGGTAGCCTAAAATGAGAGGCTGTAAAAACTTTCAAAGCTCATCCAGGAATAGAAACCTACTTGCAAATTCTGAGAATGGACTTGTAAATTCTTGCAAACCACAGGGAATGTTTTGACAGTGGATTGTAATTTCTGTGTTCAAGTTTAAGCTGTGTGAAGTTAGCCCCTTTTAGCGAAAATGTTCAATAATTGCCATAATTTTCACATGCAAATTCTGAAAACAGATTTGCAAACTTTTGCGAACTATACTTGCTAACTTTATATATAATTTTCGAAATCTTTGAATGAAGTTGAGGAGCCAATTTCATGGAAGTCATTATTTCGTCTCACCGGTGTACCTAACAAACAAAAACATTCTTTTTCAAATAAAAAAAATACTATTGAAGCACACTCACCAGTGTTGAGAATAGATGACAAAAATTTTATCTAGATAAGGTATAGATAATTTTGTACAAATTTATCTAGAATCTAGATTCTAGATACTCGAATGGTTGAAACCGCCAATCGTTATTCATCAATAACATCATTGATTATAAATAGGTATTAGTATTTATAACCACGAATAAAATTACTATATTATTATTTTGGTTATAATATTGTATAAATATATGTGGCGATTAATCGCATACATCCTTATTTTTAGAAATGGGGCGATTAATCGCGCAGAATAAAATATATTTAAATTCATCGATTAATCACCTAATATGCAAGCCACTAAAATGTTTTTACTATGTGAAAATTTCAAGTTATGACTTCAGACCCATTTATACCCTCGATTTTAAATTATGAATTGCCTATACATTTCATATGTTTCATTAAATTTCTATCATCTGTAAATTATATAACAATTAATGTTTTCAAAAATATTCTAGTCAAAGAGTCGTAAAATAACGTCTCAAAATATCAACTTTATACAATTTGCTAGTAAAACATGGGAATAAAATAATATTACGAGAATATGTTTTAATTGTAAAGTGTTCTGATAGAACAATTTTAGTAAAATAATTGAACATTATTCATGAAACATGAATATGATTTAAATTAAATAAATTTAGATAAGTAAATGTACCATCTAAGACAACCAATAGATAAATAGTACAATAGTTATCTATAGATACGATAAAAGATGAGTAATTTTTTATCTAGATAAGTCTCAACCATGAAGAATAAAGATCTTTATTCTTCGTAGTCTTAACATTAACACTCCGGATCACCCCGGATATACCTGTTATGTATAACAATGATGGACTACAGGGTACAATCGAATTTCTGGGTTACATAAAAGCCAGCCTGTAAATATATTACATATATTACAGACGTCTGTAAAATTAAAATGGCTCTGTAACTTGTAATAGAGTTGCATAAAAATGTTTACAATGTAAATTATTCAATTTACAACCGGATAATTCAAACCAGATACCGATAACCCGCGGCCGCATAACTTTTCTACAGTCGCTCAAATATATATCATAGTATTTAAAATTTTAATTTTATGCCTTTAAATCGTAATTATTAAAAGTATTCATTTTATGTGCTTTCAAATCGTAACTATTATATTTTCTAAGAATAATATTGACCATGAGGTAATTTTACACTGTTTTTATGTTTCTAAACAAAATATAATCTATTATAACCATAATATTATATTTAGCATACACATTAGATACGATTAGATTACGAAAAATACGTATCTGGTTATGGTTAGAATGCAGTTCGTTTTTAAATGTACCAACGTGCAGACATCGTATAACAAAAATTAAAATTAAAATTTTAAGAATATCATGGATGATGATCCATTACAAAGCAAATATAATCGAATTAGAGAGAAACATTCAACTTTAAAAATCATACTAAAAACTAAATAACTATTTATATTATTTTTTTCACTCAAGAATTCATTTTTTTTTTTTTTTTTTTAGTTTTAGATTCTGAGTGGAACAAGGAATGTATTAGTTTTATAATGATGCTTATTATTTTTTCATAGTTTATTTTTTTTATGTAAACATTTTTGCTACAAGAAATCATATTCCGATTATCGAGTATAGCACCTTTTCTGGAAAGAAATTTTCTCTGGGTGGTACTTTAGAAAGGTAATTTTTTGAAGTTCTCATTAATATTCGATATAATGGGGAAAATCTCGGTCTTTAGATTAAAAATGATTGAAAGATTAAAAATAATGTTGTCATTGGCAACCGCTTTTATTTATTTTTTGTTGTTATTAAATTTCTAATATTTTAATATTTTTTAAACAATCATTGTTGAGTGTTGTCATAGAAACGCACATTGTTTTAATCATTTTACCATAATATGAAATAATACCATGTACTGTATTGTTGAAAAAGTAACATTATCAACTGAACTCGTCTCAGAATCGTTCTTTCGTTAGCAATGGTTTACCTTTGCTTACAGATATACATTAAATTCCCGTATATAGCCTACCTTCCCAATTTCCCACCTACAACAGTGGCTGCACCTACGTACGAAGTATGTCTGTCCTTTTTAAATTTTCTCTTCTAAAGTATTTTATTCAAAATTAGTTGAAAACAAAAAAACCATAAATACCTATATTAGTATTATAATATGTTAAAAATTTTTTTTTTAATGACGTTTATTTTAATTTTGTATGCAGCCCTCAATGAAAAGTTGATAAATAATATGACCTACGTAAGCATAGGGTTGCTTTAAAGTTTAAAACATTATGTAAATTCATGTAATGATGACACCGAATCCATATAATATCCATATAGTGATCCACGATTATGCGGTTTACGATTTACAGTGAACAAATTTAATATTCACATTTTTAAAAACACTATCTGAAATGTCAGTAACAAGTATCAGATACGAAATCAGACCAGTAAGTTACAAGTCCAATTTGTAATAATTTATAGACTCGCTCTAAGCATGTAAATTTGTATATAATTTACCGATTATGTCAATACATCTGTAGCCGGTTTTGATTTGTACATTCGTTTGAATCCATAAAATAATATCTAACATAGAATATTTTATTGGCTTTTTAAATAAATCTACATGTATTTTTTTAGATTTGGACTTCGGAGCGTAGCGAGTATTGGTTTTACCATGATGTGTGTGCTTTTTTTTTCATTTTTTTTCTGTCTGTAAACAACTTTTCTACCAGAAAAATTATTCCGAAGACTGTAGCACTTTTTCTGAAAGGTAATTTTCTCTAGTTGGTGAATTGAGGTAATTTTTCGAAAAATATAAGTTATTAGGAATGGATGAAAACATATTTCGAACCCCCCCCCCCCACCGGAAGAAGGGCCCTAGGTACGCCACTGTAAGGAATATTTGTAGAGTTGCTGTGATATTTGGATAACCCTTTTTCGAGTGTTGCTCATAAAGAATTATAAAAGTTGACCATGACGTGACATATTGCTCTGAATATTGACCATTTCAAGGGCATGGTATTTGAAACTTTCTATTTCATTAAAAATTTAAGAATTTAAAATTGTGTCCATAATTTTCCGCTCACAAAATGTTAACTTCCGGAATAAAAGACCCCTCCTGCTCCTAGCTGTGGGCTTACGGTAAAATGAAATGAATTACAGCGGGGTTCGTGATTACGGTACAACCGGCCGATGAGGATCCAGTAAGTACAGTACCCGACGACGACGCGGTATTTATAGGAAGCGGACGACGACGGTCGTTTTCATTCATCGTCCGCCGGGCGGTCGGTCGCGCGCACATTTGCGCACTGGCTAAATATTAATAATAACAATAATAATAGGTAAAATAATATAGTAATAAAGAAACACGCGTCCGACGTCCGAACGTTAATATATTGCGTAAAAAACCTTGGGACGGCGCGTGACGGCGGCGGCGCCGAGGATCGCGGACCGCGACCGGTCGGCCATCTAGTGGACGGCGCTATC